ATGACAGAATTTTTTGAAAACAGATCTTGTTATCGGTGTAGGTCAGTGTGTCATAGCTGTTGAGAAATTCGTAAGTCTATGTCAGTTTAACCTCTTCTAGGTAGCTAGTTCACTAGTTACTAGCCGATCCTAAGCCCGGATAAAGAGGGGAGGTTGGGCATAGGGCTAGCAACCCTAACCCATAAAACCAATCTATTCACTAAAGAAACTTCAAAGCACAAAGTAAATATGAAAAATAAAATACAACTTATTCCTCGCTGGAATCGGAGAGACGGAATGACGCCAGTCGGTGAAAACCTTCGGGAAGCCGATTGGCCGGCGTGTCTTCCCTCGATGCAAGCGAAGCTAAGGAAGGGATATGGAATGTCCGAACCATGTATTAACCTACCAAAGCTACTCGTATTGCCGAAGAGATGAGAAGGTATATCATAGAAGTGCTGGGCTAGGAATCTGCGAGGAATCTTCAGAAGGAATGCAAATGGACTCTTCAAATTGTCAACTGGGGAACCAATAATCTTCTCCGATACTGTCACCCAGATGACAACCACGAGAACACTGAGTTTTGCAGTGGCTAGCATGATGTCCCCTTGAAGAGCATCGAAGGCTCTCATGCAGTGGGAACAAATCTCCTCCAGGATCATGACAGCAAGGTTCAACTCAAAAGGAAAGAAAGTTACAATCATACAATGGTACGCTATACACCTACAAATAATGCAGATGAAGAGAAGAAGGAGGAATTCTACAGGCAACTGCAATCAGTCAGTACTGGTCAAGACTCCAGTTGGCGATGGTGATACCAAAATTCTAATGGTTAGGGGTGACATGAATGCGAAACTGGGATCGGACAACACAGGAAGAGAACCAATCGTGGGTCAAGAAGCACTCGGTGAGATGAACGAGAATGGAGAACTGTTTGCGGACTTCTGCGCATTCAGCCGTTCGTGGATTAGAGATAGTGTGTACAAACACAAGGATCTTCACAAAACGACATGGATTTGATTTCACCAGATGGACACACTACACTTTAAGTCAGGTCGACTTCATCTCAATGTGAAAAAGACGCAGATGCAGGTTCAGACCACTAACTATTTAGTGCAGGGAACCTTCAAAATCAAGTTGAAAGCCCTGAGAGAAGTTGGTGATAGACCGCAGTTCAAGTTCAACACCCAGAACAGAAACTGAACTAAAGGGGAAAACTACAGAGGACATCTTCACGTCAGTCAGTGATCAGGACAAAATGGGAGATATTGAGCAGCATCCCTGAAGGATAGGGCCTGCAAGAACACTGGAACTCCTTGAAAGAGATATGGAGAAAAACCCTGCATAAACGTATTAGGAAGGAAGAGGAAACAAGATAAGGAATGGATCTCCACAGACACATGGAAGCTGATAGGAGATGGAGAGGAAAATAGTGGAGCGGAAGATGAACCAATGCAGTGCAAGGATGAACAACGAAAAGACAAACTGAGTACAGCATACAAAACACTGGATAAAAGGGTGAAGACGAGTGCGCGCAAAGACAAAAGATGCTTCTACGAACACCTGGCGGGTGAAGCAGAACAGGCCACTGGTAGGGAAGACCTGACAACACTATATCAAATAACCAGGTTACTATTCGGGAAGAGATCAACGTAGACGAAACCAATGAAAAATGATAGTAAAGGAAAGCTAGTTACCAAAGAGGAGGAACAAAGGAAATGATGGGCTGACCACATCATAAAACTCTTGAATCGACCACCACCACCAACAGCAACTCCTCCAGAAATACCACCAACAACCCAGCCACAGAACTATCAGTGAAAAAAAGCTCTCCAACAAAAGCAGAAGTGAAGTCCTGAACGCCATAAAGCTGCTAAAATCCGGGTAAGCAGCAAGACCAGATGGAATTCCTCCAGAAGCACTGAAAATAGAGATAAAGACCACAGAGGACATGCCCACAACATTATTGCAGAAGGTTTGGAAAGAAGGCAGAAAAGCTACCTGCCGATCGAGTGGAAGAAGGGCTATCTTGTCAAACCCCCAAGAAAGGAGATATAAGCCTTCGCAAGAACTGGTGAGGAATCATGCCACTGTCCCACCCCAAGCAAAATATTAAGCCGCATCATCCTAGAGAGACTAAACGATGCTCTGTATTCAAAATTGCCACCGGAACAGATTGGATTCAGGAAGAACAAATCATGTGGGTTCAGATTGCAATGCTACACTAAGCATCATCATAGAACAGTCTATAGAACAACAGTCAGCTCTTCAACTTACCTCAACCTTATCTACTTTGAGAAGGCCTTCGACAGCGTCGACCGAGAGGTAATTTGGAAACTGCTTGCTTCAACACTACGCTTTTAGTGCCACAAACCTTTATCAACCTCATTCAACAGCTATATGCTATGCTATATGCTGCCACATGCCAAGTGATTCACAATGGAAAGCTTTATGACGCGTTTGAAGTGAAGGCAGAAGTAAGACAAGGCTGTCTACTATCACCGATGATCTTCCTGATTGTGGTGGACTGGATCGTGCAGCAAACCATGAGGAGCTGTGAGAAGATAGGCATACACTGTTTGACCGATGAAGAGACCCCAGGAGTCGATTTGCATTTCGCCGATGGTTTACATCTAACGTATTGTGGCGCAAACTCGAAAATCTACGAGCAAAAACCAACGAGTTAACAGTAGAGGCAGCGAAGATGGGACTTCCCTCAGGTGAACGTAGAGAAGATAGAGGTGATGAAGATACCCAACCAACAACAACATCAGGCACCAATCGCCACCAACGGAGAAACCTAAAGGAAGTAGTCTCTTTCACCTTCCTAGGCTGCATCGTTTCAAATACAGGTGGCAGTACAGATGAGGAGATAAAAACCAGGATCGTGAAAGCAAGACAGACCTTCACTAATCTGAAACCAGTGTGGAGATCTAGTACACTGCACTCAGCATAAAGCGTGAACAACATCTGGATTTTCAGCACTAAGTCAGTCAAGTCAGTGCTTCTATGTGATGGTCAAGAAACTTGGTGAGTCACGAAAAGCACTTCGAACAAACTACAGACATTCATCAACAACTGCAACCTATGATCACTTGATACTGGCACTGAAGATCAGATGGCCAGAATAACAAGAATAAGCAACAAAGTACTCTGGGTGGCAGTGGACCAACGAAGAACCCATCGCCCAACAAATTTGTAGAAGGAAGTGCAGATGGATTGGATTGGACATACACTGAGAAGACCGTTTGGAGACATCACGTGCCAGGCACTCAAGTGGAACCCAGATGGGAAACGGCGAGTTGGGCGTCCGAAGGTGACATGGAGGAGATCATGTGAGGAAGAAATGAAAGCTTGTGGGCAGTCGTGGAGTCAGGTTGAAAAGACTTCAGAGAAGAGAGTGAAATGGAGACGTGCTACTGAAGCCCTATGTTCCACTAGGAACTCAAGGTACAAATAAGAATAATATTAGTTTACTTTTTCACCTCCTCTTGGGTGACTAGTCACTATACAACAAATATAGGCTCAAGCGACACTTTTTTATAAGTCATACTTTAAAAAAATATGGGACGAAATTGATTTTTTGACAAAAACAACACTCACTTAAAACAATTCACAATATGGAATGGTAGCCACCTAAGTTTGTGAGTAGAGATACTGCCAAGATACACAAAGCGACTCATTTAAGTGGGCTTTACAACTCCTAGCAAAGTACTTATACAACCGGTCAACGCATGAGTTTTATAGATACAGAACGAATTTATATCATTACTTAACTTCCTTCAGAAATTCTGTTTAGAATTGTATAGATTTTATGTTCGATGATAATTGTTTTTTAATATGTTTTTATTTAGACTGCAAGTTGCTAGTAAGAAGTTCCAACTAGTTAACAAGTTTGTGAATTTGCTTCGACCGAGTTTGAAGTGTTACCTACTGATTGAGGCGGTTGATTTTCAACCAGTGGATTACGGTTGTGAACGCTACTTCGTCTACTGAGGTTTGAGCAACCAGGTAGTATCACTGGACCTCACAAAATAAGTGTTGATCACTGCTTACTTAATGCACATTGCTAAGTACTTCTCGTTCGTTCCGTCGTCGTTCAGTGATGCTTTTCATGTATGCATTTGAGAGTAAGATCTCAAAATATTTCAAGCAGGTCATTAAATACGAGTGGCATTTTCGTGACGAATGCATATTATCCAAACCGTGATCTACTAATATCAGTAACATGATGTGCTACTGTTCTCTGAATCAAAAAACTGTAGATTTGAACGTGTTTTAAGTCTGCCGCAAGTCACATGAAGTTAACGAAACAACAAAGTTCTGTGATAACTCAGTAATAAATTTCAATGTTCTGTTATGATAGTCTTGTTCATTTGAAATATATGTACTCTTTTACTTTGTCCTATTCATTATAATCTTGCACATTTTTTTGGAAATGGTGTCATCCAACTAACATTTTGCTAATTATGATTAGTTTTTTTAAGTTCATCTAGTTGGGCATGCAACGATACAAATTCTTTTTTCTACTTTGAATTCTTTCTCGATTAGAAACTGGCACTGCTAGATCTATCTAACCTTCTTATCCACTTTTATTTCTAAAAATCTGATGTATTGTGATTTTTGTAAAATCAAGTGAATCAGACATACAAGTTTAATTACTAAGTATTTTAAATGTGTATTTCCCACATAGTTTTGGCGTAAAGTGTAAAGAAAAGCAACTGGTATCAGAATGAAAACAATTAAGTTCTGATATGCTTAATGTTTTCCTTTCTAAGTCAATATTATGATCTTTTCAAAGCGCTTGTCGTTTAATGATTGTTCGAAGTTGTATGGTATAGTGGAGAACCATTTTTATTTCCTTTTAATTCACCGAAGCCTGCAAATGTATTTCGTTTATGAATAATCTACGCAGTTCTCAGCCTGTTGCATTATATCCGGTGAAATTTTGATCATGATGTCTACTTCTACAACCTTTTTAGAACCTTTATTCCAACTAGTTTTTTGTTTTTAAATTTCAGCAATTATGTTGACAAAAGTTTGCTGTCTTGGAGCAGGTTATGTTGGTGGATCCACATTGTCAATTATAGCCCATTACTGTCCAGAACTACAAGTCACTGTTGTTGACACATCCGTTGAACAAATTAATTTGTGGAACTCAGATACACTTCCAATATACGAGGTAATTAGTTATATTTGAAGGTTATGTGGACATTGATACATCCAGATGTTCAGTTAATATAAAGATTCACTGAAAGCAACTACTGAAGTTAATAATCAAGTGTTGCTGCTAGGTGTAGCTTTTTTGGCAGACAGACAAAATCAATGTAGAACCTAGCACATAAGTGCATTGGTTCAAGTTACCACACTTAACACTAGTACGCAGAGAACAAGTGGATGGAAAAGGAGTGATATTGATGCAAACAAAGTTGTGTAAGAGAATAAACTATTTGAAGATAAAGCCTAATGCAATATTCAAGCTAAGGAAGAGGCTGAAGAATAAATACATCTGCGTCTTTGTGACCGATTTTCAGCCATCTCACTTAGGATCTTAACCACTGATTCCTGTCTTCTCGGAAACCCCGCTCATGTAGTCTACATCCCCCAGTATGGCTCAAACCAACAGTCAGATACTTCGTGAATTCGTGTCACGTTTCGTTGTGGCCACCCTGGACTCTCTTCTAACATAATCCAGCCTCCTGTAGTATGGCATGTTGAGGTAGGTGGTGACTCGGCATGGGCATTATATATCAAAGCCATCTTAGTCGATGTTCACAGCGTCTTCACTTTAATTGCCTGTTTCGCCTAATACCCTTCACCTGACCTCAACATTGCTCATACGGTGTTTCCATCAAACGTGAGCAATGCTGCGAATATACATATGATCAAAACCATGTGACCGCTTCATGTCTTTTACTTTTAATGACCATGTCTCACAGTCCTACAACTGCAATATACTCGTCCCTTGTTAAATAGTGGGATATCTCGCAAGTCAGCAAATGCCAAACGGGTTTTCTGTGACGTAGCTGAGATTTCGTCAACAACCACCCTGTTCGGTCTGATGCAACTCCTCAGATTTCTGCTCGACGCATTTAGAAAACGCTGCATTTTTTCAGCTTAAATGAATAACAGTTGTTACTATTTCTCCAGTCGGTGACTATAAGACATCATCAGAGTTATGGAGTGACAGTTCACTAGATTATTCAGGAGAATTGAGTTATTCCACTGGTACTTAACATAAGTTATTAAAATTTCTTCCGCTCTGGGACCGAATTAAAAAGAAAGGATAATGTTAAAACTTATGTAGGTGAAGTAAAGTAGTTCGAAGTATGCATAACAGGATTTATTTTCAGAAGAGAAGATGGACCATATGGTTTGAAAGATAGCTGATCACCTTAAATGGACATGAATATACAAACACAGGTAAATGGACACCTAGATGTATGGAAAGAAATATGAAAGTAATTTATAATTTTTAAATACCGTTTAATAGGTCAAATATAGTGAAGTAAACTACTTTTTAAATAATATTCAGTGACCACTTATTATCGTAAGGAGATCCTAATAATATGCTAACACAAGTTAGTCAATTAAACTGATTTCACACATATATTTCCACTTATCAACTTTAAGATGACAAGAACAAACATTTGAGTGCAACAATGTAAATTTATTTTATTACTTTGACAATTCTCGTTAGCTACTTACAACTAAGAGTATTTACAATAACAAATTATGATAAAGTATCACAGTATTTTATTCACTGAAATGAACCGAAACGAGACAATGAAATAGTAAATTAAGGGAACTGTCAGAATTAAAGTCAAAATGTTATGTAATGATGTCATTATTATCTTTCTCTTGGTAAAACGAAAGTCCTCGTAAAAATTACACAGGGATCGGGGATAGGAAGAAACGAATACTGTACAGAATAAACAAGAAATTACATGAGTGAATGAGTAAAAAAGTAAGTAAGTAGTAATCGGAAAACAAAATGTAAATAGGACAATGCATAGAACTTAGCTGGTTAGAATTGGGGTTGAGAGTTAACTGAAAATATAATCAGAAGATAATGATTTAATCGAATAAGTGGAAGGCTAAGAAAGATGGTTATCAGGGTAGTTGAAAATTGACGATAGATTCTTTTCAAACACAGTTATGCTTTTTGGTGTTTGGTTGCATTGGTGTAAGCGAAGCAAAAAGGATTTGAATTCTTCTATTTATTGTTTACTCTGAACGATTCCAAGGCATCCACTTGATGTTCTGTGTTGACTAAGTGTTAATATTTTACTGTAATTCATTATTGTAAATATTCCAAATTGTGAGCAGCTGATGAGAACTGCCAAAGTAATAAAAAGGATCCATATTATTCTATTACAGTGTTTTAACTCACCCTTTTAAACTGATGATTTCATCTTTCTCCAGTACAAGAGTTAACCTTGTCACCAGGTACGGACTGAATTATTTCGTTATTACTCCTCACACTAGATGACACAAAAAGTCAGCTTTTATTACTGCATTGTAAACGAATAAAAATCGATAAGGTTTCGAAGGCACTCTCAGTAGTCGAAGTTCATTACCATAGCATTCAAACACCAAGTCGTATTTGAAACATTTAGTCCCTTTGATGAATTTGCAGAATGTAATAAGAAGACGGAGGTTATCTGAAAAATGTAATGTATATGATGTACATTTCGAACAATCTGATCACACACTTACTTATCAAGGCATTTTATAGGAGGGATGAAAAAAAGGTGGGGTAAGATAAATATATGAAAATGAAAGGTCAAATATAAATAATACGGAAAGGTTGTTTCACTTAATCTACCTTGGTAATGTCTATCTGATTATATTACAACCTTTTCGTATTCATTATATTTGACCTTTCGTTTTCATGTGTCAATTGACTTGACAAGTAAATGTGCGCAAATAAATTACATTTTCAGATAATCCTCGTTTTCTAATAGCATTATCGAAATTGATTAAAGGGACTAATTGTTACAAACCAGTTCGTCAGGTCAGTCTACTAAATCACTTACGGAAAGATAATGACAACTCACTTAATACTGAATTGAAGTTAGTGTTGATGATATCGTCTAGCAAGGCGATGAAAGCTGAACAACTAAACAAAACCCATCTTAGAGAATACATTACAACCAAGACCATCCACCTGAGCTACAAATATTCTCCACTATATCTGTATAATTTCTAATTTTAAATATAATTTAGTGAGGATTTTATAAACTTCAGGACAAAAATTTGACCTGATAGAGTTGAATAAGTTCATCATTACTTAGGTGGATTATAAATGAAATATATTTCAAGTTGTTATTCATTGTAGACTGACATGAGTTGGAGGAACAAAGGAAACCTGGGAGCACTGGACAGCTGTTTCGTCCTAGTATGGGACTCCTCAGCAGTGCGCACCCACGACCCCACCAGCAGGGATCGAACCCGCGACCTTCAGGTTCCGCGGCCAGCACGTTACCATTGAGCCACTGGGTCAGAATCCAATGCTCCATATTTCCAACTTCTGTTAGCTCCTTTGTTCCTCCAGCTCATGTCAGTCTACAATGAATAACAACTTGAAATAATTCCAAATCTCCACAACTCCCTCAAAATGAAATGTATTTCAAAAATTCCGTTGAAAAAAATAAATTTCTGACGTTTCGTGACTTTGCAAAAATCGCTTCTTTAGAGAATAAAACCTGTACAAGTTATCAACTGTTTAAAGAGACCAAGTTTATTTAGTTGTGTTGTGCTAATGATATTTATTCTACCTCATTGGGATTTTACAAATATATATCTTTTATAATTTAGTGAATACTTTCGATTTTTCAGAAGAATTTTACTGGTTCTAAATGTTTGTTGAAAATCAGTTTTACATACGGTTAGAATAGATAAGAGAACACGAAGTTGATGTTTCCCACAGAAAACAAACTAATTATTCGTTTCTACTATATATCAAATGTTATACTGTTGATGTTTGAATATTTTTTTCAATTAATTCAATGATATTTAATTTGGGAGAAATTCATTCTTCACTGCCGGTAGCCCAGTATGTCACCATTTAAGCTCTGTGTAGTGTGATTGATGTTATAGGTTATTAATTTGTTCAAAAAGTGTCTGAAATGAATAATTTTGAGCGTAATTTTAGTTGATTTCTTCAATTATTGTAATGCTTTTAATCTAGATTGGCACATAAGGCTTAAATGACAACGTGCCGGATACCAGGAATGCGCATTCTTCTATCCTTAATCTTACGGTTATTAGTCATGTAAAAACCTTATGAATTGTTATTTTCTTTTGGTAAATATCTACTGTTTTCTGAAGAACAGATACTATATTCTAGATTTAAACTTTACCCGTGAATCTCTGTAGTTTGTATTTATGCACAAAAGTATTTTTAAATTTCATAGTTTCTTCCATATGTGACCTCATCAATTTTGAAAACAATCCAGTGTTAGAGATTTCTGAAACCACATGGGAATCGACTAGATTTTTCATATTTCATCATATGTTCATTCATTGAAAGCTAATTTATGCTGAGATATACATCATTGAAGATAAATCTGTTGGCATATGAGAAATTATTTGCTGCTACAGACTATATGTTTTCCTAGACAAACTAGGTGAAATTGATCACAGATGATGTAACAGCAGTGACAAACCGAATTTTTTTTTTAATGCAAAAAAGGATAATTTTTCAAAAGGTAGATTTGTTATCTTTCGATTACCAGATTGTTTCAATCAATCAATTATACTTTTTTCGAAGTCTAATGTACATATCTTCCTGAAATTTTAAGTCATTAGCTGTGTTCTTGTACTTTAGACTTGCTTATTTTTTTTCGATTAACATTATCGTTCAAATGCAGAAATGTACTTGATAAGAGTAAGCTAACCGTTTGAAATTCCATTTTCAAGTTATATGTGGTTTGTAATCTGTCTTAGTAAAATTTTTTATTTTATTCTATAGATAATGAGGGGATATACCATAGGAAAAGATGAATTTTTAAAGGCCACTCATACTCACCTATTGATTGTTTTAACCAGACGAAAGTGGTCTAAGTATTAGTTGTGATATCAGTAGTGTACTTGGACAAACTTTGTACACATAATCGAACATCCCAAACCATTTGAATTTTGCCAATGGAACTCTATAAGTTTTTATGTTTTTGAATTAAACATCAGTTCTCGAATTAATTACTTGTTCTCGATAGCTTTAGCTTGTTTCTAACTACTTATATAATTCAGTAGTACATCATATATATAAAGTTTACCAACTTAATATTAATTTCTTTTTAAATTTTTTAGCCAGGACTGGATGAAATTGTTAAGTTACATCGTGGAAAGAATTTACACTTTTCCTCAGATATCGACAAAGCAATAGATGAAGCGGATATGATTTTTATTTCCGTGAATACGCCTACAAAAAGTTGGGGTCTTGGAAAGGTAAACTAATAAATAGGTAGTCAAGTTTTTATTGATCTCAACTGACGAGTTGGTAAATTAGTGCCTACTGAAGCTTCAGTTGTATCACTGTTTTTTCATTCTCTTACCTCCATTTTTAGTGAATAAATATTTATTATGATAATGTTTTAGGGTAGAGAATGATGGCTAAATTAATCTATTATGAAAATTTACGGAGTTAAATAAAGTGGGCTGTCAAATCACAATGAATTTTATTTAAAAAGAATATCCTGTTACAATGGAAAAAAAAGGTATGTAGTAAGATTGGCTACCTGGATGATATAATGCTAAAAGTGAATACTAGAGAGGTCATTCGTAATCCGAATAGCTCAGTGGTAACGTCTTTAACTCAAGCACCCGCTGACATGGGTTCGGACCTAAGGCGGGACATCAGTTCCATAGGGGTTGCAGATACGCCCTCCTGACGAGTGCAGACAAGCATGAAACGTAGTTCCAGGGTTTCCTGCCAGATATTCAATAATGAAGATACCAATGGTATAATGAAGTCCTATCTGAGTTTGACTGTCTGTGGCAGAATAACTCGTCCAAATATATTCCAGTCTGTAAGTTGAAGCGTTTCCCTTAGATTAAGTATGTTACTAAATGAATAGTTTCTGTGTACAATCTTATATGTGAAAGCTGTTTTCTGAAGTTTGCCATATATTTTGGGCAAAACACATATAATGCAATGATCTGAGCTGAACAGTGGGGATCTCCTTCGAGTTTCGTATACATCAGTATCATTGACGAATACCAAGTCTAGCTTGCATGCTGATGTGTTGTGAAGTTAACAAAGTTTAGATGACCAAGAGTATTGAGAAAGCTTTGGTCACAAGAGTTGAAATCACCACATATTATCGACAGGGAACCACAGAGTATGGGGGCTTCGAATTCCGTGAATATATCACAGAATTTGGATAGTTCGGAGAAACTACAGCCAGGCGTCACATAAACATTTGTTATATAAATAAAGCGATATTTGTTCAAATGTTTTGGGTGGCATTTTACAGTGATGCAATCTATGTGGTCATTAGAGAAATCGAAGCGTATATAACTCGAAATACATCAATGGGTATTGATGAATGTAGGTATTTTACCTCCACTTTTCTTAGTAGAGCTACATCTATCTTGAAGGAAAATTTTGAAATCATTCAGAGAAATCAAATTGTCATCATAAAATTCATATAACCAAGTTTCTTTCAGTGTAATTACTCCAGTATTACGGTAAACATCGGAGGGCAAAAGAGATTTTAAGTAATCTACTTTCCCTATAGCGACCTGCAGTTCGTGCTTATAATTTCAGGTAGAATCATTTGAGATAAGGTTATTCGCTTCAAAGCATGTAACCATCCGCTGTAATCCTTTCTCCTCGTCTTATTTGATACTGGCATCTCAGAAGGCCCTTAAGCTTTTTAAAAATGTGCGTGAAAATGTAGTGGGATCAGAGGACATAATATAATGATTTAAACGAAAAAATCTGTTGAAAATTTGATGCAGTATGACAGGAAATTTATTATCTCAGATATTCAAGCAGGCCGTTAGATCAGGCTGTCTGTATCATTTTCATCTGACTAATCAAAGCTCATAGTTAGTATGAACGGTTTTCAACCGCTTATGTTGCTCGTAAGTACATACCTGAGCCCCAGTAATTCTTTCTATTACTGTTGTGATTGTATTAGATCTTTTTATTTTCTAACCAGCAAATAAATCGCACCGCGACATTGATTTGATCAACAACTAAGGTGTATACTTTCTAGTTAATTTACTAAAATGTACGGAGTAAATAAAATTAAAATCATTCTGTCAGATAGTTTAGCACAAAATGGCTCATTTGTGGTAATATTTGTGTTACTGTAGAGAGTAGTCAGATGAAATTAATACACAATGAATGATGAATGAATTGATCGGATAAATTGAGAATAGTGGTATGTTAAACACCTTAGCTGTGTAGGAAATTCTATGATTGTTAGTGAGCTGATCTATGACGAAACCCAGTGTGTATAAGAGAAATGCTTGTTTGTTACTTGGGAATTTTTCTAATCGCGGTGATACTGGTGAGAAATATGACTGCTAATCAATGAGTGAGTTTACTGCGTAACGACCTATTATTTCCTGCTGTATAACTGTGAGACTAAGCTTTTTGAAAGCAATTAACACGAAGGAGTTGCAAATTTCAACTGCGCATGTCTACATATCACTCCTGACACTTGACGAAACCACAAGATAAGCGTTGTTGAGGTAAGACTGGGACTACCAGATGTCAAGTCAGTCTATGAACCGGATGAAACATATGTTACGCATTACCAACTAGTCGTATCTCTCAACCAGCAACGCTGTCTAAGGCAGAATTACGCTAGAAGAGAGTTAACGTTTGTCAGACAGTCATATGAATTCAATCCATGAAGGTTATGTCTGTTCGTTGATTACTATTTGGGCGTATTTGGGTTCCTTGATATGTTGGGGATCAGCAGTTAGAGACTATCTGTAATGGGGTTTAGAAAGGCTTGTTGTGTTTCTAATCTGTTCATTCTATAGCTTCTTTGATATTCTGAGTATCCTACTCAACTTCACTTCGCTTCCTTCTCTACGTTACTACCAAGCAAGGTAAATTGTTAGATTCTGCTCTTTGTTTTGTGTTTGTATAGAACTGAGTTTTTATACTGTATCATAGTCATTGTTTTATTTGATCACTTTTTGATTTATTTTGAATGTAGTGGTAACTATTCAACTGTTTATTCGATAAGAATTGCTCTTACTGATGTAATGAGTAAGATTGATGGATCTTGTTAGAATATGAATTTCTGGGTTCCGAAATCTTGATACCACTGATTATGATTTATATATGCTGTTGGCTTACTTTGTAATCAAGGAGGGACGTAACTCTCTATTCAGGACATATTCGCATCTCAACAGGTATTGGTGTTCTCAATGAATAATGAATATTCATCGTACGCGTTTCTGTCAAATATCAAAATCATTTTGACGATTTGAGGTAGCCGTGGTTTGGTAGACTGGTACTAATACCGGGTGATGATTGAAGTGAAATAAAAATCTGGTCAGCATTTGGGCCTTGTAGCTCAGTTGGTAGAGCACCGAGCAGAAAACTCGGTGACTACTGGTTCGAATCCGGCCGTAGTCCAAATTTTCATTTCACCTTCAATCATCACCTAGTATAAATATCGAAATATTATTCAGTCGTTGTCGTCTTATATTCAAAAGTAATTGATTAGTTCAGTTTTTGGGCCAACAATGAACCATTTCTCCCGGGCATTTCAAAAAGCTGCACCGGTAACAGAACTTTCAATCAATGAGTAGTCAAGTTAGGAAATCAAAGCCTGGAGGACAGCACTATGAAATTACTATTGACTTATTTTCTGTGTCAATTTCAAAATACGAATTTAGGCCTGGTCGTTTGAGGAATTAGGACCAGTTCTAAAGTGGCAGTCATGATAAACCTATACTGCTAGTTGGCTGGAGGCAATTGGCAGGAAGCCCTGGACCTAGGTTTCGTGCTCTTTGGCACTCGTCAGCAAGGCATATCTGTAACCTCGACAGAACTGATGTCCGGCCTGAGATTTGAACCCGCGTCACCCAGTGTTGTAGTCAGCAACTTTACCACTGAGCTATTTGTGCCGCAACTGACCTCCTGTAGGACTGGCTTACATGTATTGATTGGTCACGGGAGTGCAACCAATTTCATGTTGTCTAGTTCTGAGTGCAGACCGAATCCTATCGATCATATTTGCAATGTGGCTGCCGAGTGCCAAAAAGCACGAAACCTAGGTCCAGGGCTTCCTGCCGATTGCCTCCAACTAACATCTACTAATGTGCACCGCGATACTGAGCTTCCTAACGTCGTAGCCACATTGCAAATATGATCGATAGGATTCGGTCTGCACTCGGGACTAGACAACATGAAATTGGTTGCACTCCCATGACCAATCAACAAATCTATACTGCATATTTGAATTATTGCCAATCTGTTCTAATATGCTCATCACAAAGTCCATCGTTCTTGTACTTTATTTTGAGAGGCATCATAATTAAATTTTGTTCGAGAACTTTATACTTTCCTTCGACGTATGTTCACTTATAATGAAAACAATCTAATAACCTGTATTTTAGATTCATACTGTTTACTATCTGTACTAAGTAGCTACGATCAATGGTGGTAATATTTTTTATTCACATTCATTTTTGTTTTTCAAGAAATAGAACCACTTTGCATGCTTCATTCTATTGACTCTGTCTTCTTTTGTTACAAATACTTATTGTAAAATTGTATACCAGAGATGGAGGTCAATAGAAGATTGAAACTATAACATCATATCTTACGAGTAATATTTTCTTTCCAGTAATTATTATGATCACCATACGCCTTTATTAATTACGAGGTCAAAGTAACATTTGTGATAAGAGATTGCCATGTTTTAAATTGACTTTGACAACTGACACAGTGGCTTGAGCAAATAGGCTTTTTAAGTTGCATTGACCCGACTGGATTACTGCTGAGAAATCAGTCACCACTGAGTGATACAGCTATCTGGTGTCTGAGATAGCCTTGATAAAGGTAACAAACATCACTGACTATTTCTAAACCACCACTGATGTCTAAACTAGTTAAACAGGCGACTGGGTGCAAAAAAAAGAATAAAGTTAGCAAATTATCATAGATAATTGGAATACTACGAGCACATACCTTAAACCGATAAATATTATTAAAAGAGGATCCGTAAGTTATTTATTCGCGGCAAATGTACTTGAAAAACTTACTAGAAGATTACTATTTTTAGAAAAATAGTTGTCATTTATAAATGCGAATATTTAACCTGCTTATCCAACGGAAAGATTTAAATTGGTCCCCTTTTCATGGTTTCTGTTGACTAAGATATGCAAAATTAGGTGTTACACACCGCGTTCAATTAAGAGGTTCTTGGGGTTATACAAAGGAGTTCTCATCACGGACTGACACCAGCTAGCGAATCTCGTGGGTACTAGATTGCTGTTTCATTCTAGTTTGAAAATGCTCATTTGTGTGCACTGAAACTAGGATGAATCAGCTATTCACTGATCATAGGTTTTCAACGATCCATTGGATCATTTCTATCCATGAATAAAACCTATTTGGTATGATGTATGACCGTAGTTTGAAGTTAAAGTAGTCTACGTTATATGCTTGAAGACTGTTCTCTAATTCTGTGGAGTCCTTTAAACTTAAGTTCGATGGGAAGATGATATATTCGGGTGTATCGTAATATACTGATTTGAAGCATGGGAACCTGAATTGTTACGCAGTAGTTCTGTTTCTCATGTTGATATCAACTGATCGCACATATCTGAATGCAATATTACTTCTCGTTTAATCAACCAATGAGATTGTTAATTCTAAAGATGGGTTTTTATTTATTTATGTGGTTGTTAAGACGTAATAGCTTACGTCGACAAAAGCATTAAAATTCTTGTAGATGATTCAAAAATTCTTCATTTCATGATGTTTTATCAGTTACTGTTAAAACTTGAAGGGATTATTCTGTGAATATGTGTGGACGGGTGCGTAAGTAGGAGTTTGTTGGTTTACAAATGTTGTTTTGTCACTAAACTAAGTGATTTCGCACTACGATACACTGTTTGAGTATATCCAAACTATAGAAAGCTCCGAATTAGCTCAATAAGAAAGTTTTTTTCTTGGGGGCTACTGCTAAAGTAATAATTTTTCACTTCCATAACACTTTTACTGATGAGCTTTGGAGATATTTTGTTCTTACCTATGCATATCCTTCAAAGAGTCTTCATATTTACGAAGGGATATTTTATTGGTCATGAAATGAACTTTTGGTAACGTAGAAAAACTGTGATTGTAAGGAAATTAATCATATCGGATGCAGACAGACAGCTAAACGTAGAACCTAGTACAGGAAAAAGCAAATAAAATGTTTGTATAAATTGATTTAAGTATAATTTTACGCATATTTGTTTGTTACTATTTAGGGTCGAGCAACTGACCTGACTAATTTAGAAGCTGCCGCCCGACGTATAGCTAAAGTCTGTCGACGACCAAAAGTGATAGTAGAAAAAAGTACAGTACCAGTCAAAGCAGCAGAAACGACAGGTGCAATTATTCATTTTGAAGCGAAATTGCATCAAAATAACTTCAGTTATTCAGTTAATGGTGATGAGTGTAATGGTGATCTGAAAAAGGTGGTTACTTTTTTCTTTGAAGTATATTATCACGACGTTTTTTTTTAATCATTATAATTCAATTTGGAGTTTTGTGGGGGATTTTATTGATTTTAAGTTGGTATTCATGGCGGACTAACATGAGTTAGAGGACCATTGAAAACGCTGGAGCAATGGACAGCTCTCTGGTTCTAGTATGGAGTCCCTCAGTGATGTGCACCCATGACCATGCCAGGGCTCGAACCCAGGGCCTACAGTTTCTGCAGTGAGTATGTTACTGTTCAGTAACTAGGTCGGAACTCAGTGGTCCTAAGTTTTCTACTTCTGTCGATTCGCGATGTAGCATGATCTTCATCTAGAAAATTCGCGAACAGCTAGCATCTAACAAGTGATTGATGCCACAATAATAAATTTCGCTCAAATAAATTTTAATCAAAGAATATATCAAGATTGTGTTTGGTTTCAACGCCTTCACATCCTGTCAAATGATTAATGTGACTACCAAGGTCATCGTGGGCCTCAGTACAACAATATTTTAGTCCAAGTTATCATACTTCCACTAAACCATAAAATGCAAACCATTGGTAAGGAAGAAGTACGAATATATATGCTTCTGATGATGATTTTGAGTAATTTCTACCTATTCGCTTCAACCAACTATTGTTCATCAGTTTTGATTGTACTAAAAACTCCAGTTGTGATGTAGGAGTTTAAACAGTTGAAAACGGATGGAATTTTTTCTCTATAAATCGTAATGAGTATTGATAAAATGTTACAACCTTACATTCAACACAGTGCATTGATTAAATTTGTCTCTACTCGTTGAAAAGTCGTTCCTCCAGTCTCACTGTTCCTCTCATGGTTGTTCTTCCTGGTGAAATTTCTGATTCAACTCCTTGATGTCCTTCTGTCCACTTCTGCAGCTGACCAGAGATTAGCAGTTAATATCCATTCTGATGTAACTATTTGCTGTCTTTCCCACTTTGGAAGCAGCTTCTCTGATCCTGATTGAGCGCCAGCGATGCGCTTCCATTTTCTAAAATATTACCTAAGCATTTTATTGATGCTAATAAACATGCTTTTTGACTAATATTGATGGTGATGAAATATTTAATATGTTAGATATGTGTTAATAGTATTTGTTTCACGTTGTCATGCTAAGCAAGGTAGTTACACTTCATATCAGGGTGATATTTTAAAAACTGTCTTTATTATTTCTATTTACTTCCTCTTTGATAATTTATGTAATAAACTGTAAAGGACTTAAATTAATCAGTTCTCAAGAGGGTTTTCATCACAAATCGATATTAGTTAGAGAACTGTTGGAAACTTACGGGAAGTAGTCAGCTATTTCGTTCTAGGTTGAGACTCTTCAACAATGTGCACCCATAACTGTATATGAGATCGAACGCAGGATCTGTTGGTCTCATCACAAACACGTTACCACTCAGCCACTGAATCGAAATCTTATAACGAAGGTCTTTTTAATTTAGTCAATTCGTGATATGTCGTGACCAACAAATGTCACTAGATTTTATTTGACTTCTCATTCGACTTATTTGACCTCACGCGTCATGATGCGTTACTACAACCTCTGGAAGTTCACCCTGAAGCAGGTCATTAGTAATGTAAATCAACGCCGTATATGTTTATATACCAAACTATAAGCCACACTTGTTGTGTTTGGACTTGCGATAATACCCGGTTCCCGAGGCCGATGTATAGTGGGGTTTGGGGAAGTCACTAGCGTTCATTGCACTATTATTCAATTTTAGTGAGAAACTGTGACCTATAAAATCAATTAAGTTGAACATGAGAACAAATACTCATCAATAACATTGGATAATGGTCGTGCTATATCACCAATGGACAGGTTCGAAAATGCAAACTACTGGATTTCGTCGTGGCTTCGATCCCACAAACAGTCTTTGGTGCACATTACTGAAAAGTTTCAATCTGAAACAAAATAGCTGTCCAGGGTCATAGATTTTCAGTGGTCATCTGGTTGGTTTGGATCTGTGGTGGAAACACCTTGGAAGAGTAAAACGACCTAACAGTATTTGCCTGAAGTTAGTTACTTGTAAAAGCCGAATAATGTCGATTTGAAAGATCGATTGAAGTGACAGATTGCTAGAGTTTGCATGAAATCACTACATCGTAGGTCTCTGTACTTTTGTGTTGGTTAACTGTTTTCATTGTTATTTCTAAGTTTAATTCCTATCTTTCCCATCTTTTTATCGTCATCACAACAATTGTTTTCCTTCCTGGGCGTTTTTGTATTCATATACCTATGTACAGAAATGTAGATTAACTGAATTCGTCGTACTATCCAATCCAGAATTTTTGGCTGAAGGTACCGCTGTCAATGATCTGTGTAATCCAGATCGAATTTTAATTGGTGGTGATTCACACTCAACATCTGGTAAATTAGCCATTGAAATGCTACGTTGGATATACTTACATTGGGTACCTCAAGAACGTATACTAATCACATCTACATGGTCATCTGAATTATCTAAACTGGTAATTTGATGTGTACGGTTTTCACGTAATATGCAGTTTACATTTATTATGTTGGTAAAAGTTTTGGCTCAGTAGTTTTCATAGTAAACTTTTAAGCATTACATTACACAGTTTTCAGACAGTAGTTACTATCGTTAGACCTTTATATAGTAGGGGTAATTCAGAAATCATTTACATGGTCACTGAAACGGAATGTTTTTAGAATTATTACATTCTTGACCCGACAATACAGGCGATATTGGTTGATAAACTGATCTTAGGGTATATAAATATTGATTAGAGTTTTTTTTTAAAATCATGGTCTTAGTGGGCTACTAATCAATGACATCTAGGTTAATAATCTTGTGGTTTTCCTGACTAAGGCGATAAGCACAACTGCTAATCACCATTTAGTTTCAGTTGAATCATGATTATGATTATCATATGGAGAAATGACATTTACCTGTGTATCCATCAATAGTATTACACTACTTCTCGAATGATACTTAACTTACACTTGGTAAGAAGGGGGAGAACAATTGATTGTTCATTTAGTCGTTTCAGTAAGTCTAAGTAAATTATAACAGTTTAGAACTACTTCGTTCATTAGTTTTCATTTATTTTCTACTTATTTGTCCCTTGGGTTCCTAGTGGAACACAGGGCTTCAGTAGTACGTCGCCATTCCACTCTCTTCTCTGAAGTCTTTTTAACCTGGCTCCACGACTGCCAACAAACTTTCATTTCTTCCTCACACGATCTCCTCCATGTCACCCTCAGATGAGACGCCCAACTCGTCGTTTTCCCTTTGGATTTAATTCGAGTGCCTGGTCTGACGCATGGTGTCTCTAATCGGTCTTCTCAGTGTATGCCCAATCCAATCCATCTGCACTTCCTTCTACAAATTTGTTGGGCGATGGGTTCTTCGTTGGTCCATTGCCAGCCAGTCAGCCAGAGTTGCTTGTTGCTTATTCTTTCTGGCCTTCTCATCTGATCTCCAGTATCGAGTGAGTGTAGGCGGCAGCTGTTGATGATGTATGTCTGCAGTTTGTTGGAAATGCTTTTCGTAACGTGCCGCCAAGTCTGTCAACCATGTAGAAGCACTGACTTGACTGACGTTGGTGTTGAAAATCCGAATGTTGTTGACGCTTTATGCTGAGTGCAGTGCAGTAGATCTCCACACTGATTTCAGGTTAGTGAAGACCTGTCTTGCTTTTACGATCCTGGCTTTGACGTCCTCATTTGTACTGCCACCTGTATTTGAAGAGATGCTGCCTAGGTAGGCAGGTAAGTGAAAGAGCCAACTTCCTTTAGGTTTCTCCCGTTGACGTTGATTGGTGCTTGTTGTTGATGCTGTTGTTGGTTGGATATCTTGATCACCTCTGTCTTCTCTACGTTCACTTGAAGTCGCGTCTTCCTTCGCTGCCTCTTCTGTCAACTTGTTGGTTTTGCCTGTAGACCTTCGAGTTTGTGCCACAAGACTTTAGACATGAATCATCATCGGTGGTGAAATCCAAATCTTCTCCTGGGGTCTTTTCATCAGTTCAGCCAGTGTATGTCCATCTTCTCGCTCCTCATGGTTGTCTGTTGCATGATCCACTGCAGTCGAACACAATCAGTAGGATGATCGATGGTAGTAGGTGGCAGCCTTGTCTTACTCCTGTCTTCACTTCAAACGCGTCACAAAGCTTTCCATTATGAATCATCTGGAATGCAGCATCATGTAGCAAGCATATAGCTGTTGAATGAGTTTGATAAAGGTTTGTGGCAGTGAAAGCGTAGTGTTGAAGCAAGCAGTTTCCGAAATACTTCTCGAGCGATACTGTCGAAGGCCTTTTCATCAAAATCGATGAAGTTGAGGTAAGGTTGACTGAGTTGACTGCCATTCTATGGTGTGTATAATGATGATGCGTAGTGTAGCATTTCAATCTGATCGGCACATGATTTGCTTTCCCTGAAGCCAGCCAGCCGGCCAGCTAGCCAGCTTGTTCCAGTTGTAATTTTGAATCTAGAGCATCGTTTAGTCTCTCCAGGATGATGTGGCTTAGTATTGTGCTTGGATAGGACAGCAGCATGATTCGAGACTAGTTTGTGTAGACTTGGGTCTCCGTTCCTTGGGAGTTTGACAATGTAGCCCTTCTTCCAATCGACAGCCAGGTACCTTTCCTGCCTTCTTTGCCTTCTTACAAACCTTCTGCAATAGTGGTGTGAGCATGTCCGCTGTTGTCTGTGAGTCTGTTTTCAGGGGTTCTAGTGGGATTCCATCTGGTCTTGCTGCTTTCCGGCATTTCGGCAAGTTTATAGCGTCCAGGACTTCACTTCTGCTTTTGTTGGGGGGCTTGTGTTCACTGATGGTTGTGTGGCTGGACTGCTGGTGGTATTTCTGAAGGAGTTGCAGTTGGTGATGGTGGTGGTGTTGGTCGATTCAAGGGTTTTTTGAAGTGGTCAGACCATTGTTTTGGTTTGTTTCTCCCCTTTGATAACTAAGTTTCCTTCACCATCATCTTTCACTGGTTTCATCTGTGTTGATCTCTTCCCTCTTAGATGGTAACCTGTCAGGTCTGTCTTACCTGCAGCCTGTTCTTCTTCAATTGCAAGTGTGTCGTAGAAGTGTGTTTTGTCTCTTCACACACTCCTTACTTCTTTGTCTAGTGTAGTGTTTTATGGGTTGTGTTCAGTTCCTCTTTTCTTTGTTCGTCGCTGCACTGGACTGGTTCATCTTCTGCTTCACCATCAGCAGCTTCACCATCTCCATCAGCAACCATGTGTCCATGGAGATCTATTGCTTGTCTTGCTTCTTCCTTCCTAACATGGTTATGCAGGTTACCTTCCACGTCGCTTTCACAGAGTTCCAGTGTTCTTCTACCCAGGTTTCTCAGTGACGTTGCTTCGTGTCCCCCATTTTTTTCCTGGTGGTTAGTGTGAAGATGTTGTTTGTAGTTTCGTCCTTGAGTTCAGTTTCTGTTCTGGGTGTTCAACCTCAACTGTGGTCTATCACCAGTTTGTTTGAGGGCTTTCAACTTGATTTTGAAGGTAGGTTCCTTGCACCAGATAGTGAGTGATGTGAACCTACATCTGCTCTCCTTCTTGATCTTGTGTCGAGTATGCTGTCTCCGCTTTCTTGCAATTGAAATGAAGTCGATGTGATTTCTGGTGTATCGATCTGGTGAAATCTATGTCGCTTTTTGAATATCCTTTGTGTTTGTACACAGTGCTTCCAATCACCAAATGGTTGGATGCGCAGAAATCTGCAAATAGTTCTCCATTCTCATACATTTCACCGAGTGCTTCCCTACCTATGATTAGTTCTCTTACTGTGTTGTCCGCTCCCAGTTTGGTACTCAAGTTTGTTGTCGCCTTCTGGGGTGGAGTCTATTCCATTACTGAATGCAGTTGTCTGTAAAATTCCTACTTCTTCTCTTCATCTGCATTATTTGTATTTGTGTAGCGTACCATTGTATGATTGTAACTTTCTTTCCTTTGAGTTGAACCTTGCTGTGAAGGTCCTGAAGGAGATTGGTTCCCAGCTGCATGAGAGCCTTCGATGTTCTTGAAGACTTCATTATAACCACTTTGTCAGTGTGCTTGTGATTTTCGTCTGGGTGGTCGCAGTAGATTATTGACTGTCCAGTTTGAAGAGATCACTTCCATTCCATTTGCTCGCGCAGATTCCTGGCACTTGTATGCCATATCTTCTCACCTCTTTTGGAATCTGAGCAACCTTGCCAGCCAGCTTCATAGTGTGATATGGCGTTTCCCTATGCTTACTTTTGCTATCATCAAGAGAAGAGAAGACACGTCGGCGAGTCGGCTTCCCAAAGGCTTTCACCAACCGGCGTCATTTTCAGCGAGGAACAAGTTTATTTTTATTTTTGATATTTCCTTTGTGCTTTGACGTTTCTTTAGCGATTGGATTAGTTTTACGGGGTAGGGTTGCTAGCCCTACACCCAGCCTTCTTTCTTTACTCTAGCTTAGGTCTGGCTAGTAACTGGTGAACTAGTAAACTGCAGAAGTGTATATACTCTAGTTTATACTGATAAATGAAATCGTATGAAGCACCTGCAAATTGTCATTCAGAAACATCGGAAGCTTTCGAAAGGCAGCTTTTAACGATTGTTCTGCGTCGAATAAAAAACCTGTAAAAATATTAAACATAGAGCAATCACTTTAAGTGGTGACTGAATATAACATCAATTGAGTTCAACTAAATAAATTGTCTTAGCATTCTTTCTAACTGTTTGTTCCGTAATATTGTAGGCTGCCAATGCTTTTCTTGCCCAACGTATTAGTAGTATAAATGCAATTTCAGCTATTTGTGAACAGACAAATGCAGATATTAAAGAAGTTTCAAAAGCTATCGGTACAGATCATCGAATTGGAGCATATTTCCTAAATGCTAGTCTCGGATTTGGTGGTAGCTGTTTTCGTAAGGATATTTTAAGCTTGGTAATTGTTTCATTTCATATGTATCTATTTTTTGAAAATCAATTTTTCCTAAATAAGTAGAGCATAAAATATCCATTGAAAAACGATTGTATACATTTACCCCATTTTCCTCTTTGATATCAAAGGATAACCTTAAAACACTAATCTAATTCATGGATTAACTGTGTATTTTTTACGTTAACTATTGTTTTCAAAGGATGGTCGGTCTTATCTGTAATTCAAGTTAAGCTAAATCGAAAGTTTGTCACTATATTTTACCGTATGTCAAGAGGATTGTTAAAAGTAATCATTTGCAATGTAATACCTTACTGCCTAATATGGTAGGATGCTACAAAAATGAAATTTTCTCTTTGAAACGTCACCATTTTTACCTATTTTGCTTTTTTACACTAACAAAGTTCGATTATCTGACAATTGCAAATTTCAATGAAGTCTGTGTTAACAGTGGTACGTTTCTTCAACAAGTTGACAACACTTCTGTGAAAAGCCATGTGCAATCTTTCTTATGCAGGTGACTTTTTTTCGCCCTGAAGACACCAAAATATTTAGCACACCGCATTAAATTTTTTCCTGTTTCTGCTAAAGGACGATCGACAGGAAAAAGTGTTACTCAATAACTATGTACAGGTTAATGAACTGCAGGTAATAAGCCACTTCTGTTATATGAGAGCTAGTGATACTATGTGGCTACAATAACTTTGGAATGTGGAGCCTTTTTCTAATCTGATTGGAAGTCAGCTACCCAAATCAGTGAAACGCTACACCTAGACAGAAAGTCTACCACCTGACTTCAAAAGACGATTCGATATATATATATATATATATATATATATATATGTGTATACATATATGAAGGTAATTTATTTTGAGTTGTGCTGGCTGTGCATCAGTTTTTAGTAACTGCTTTAGTGTAATTCCCACAAGTAATAGTCGACTAATAAGCCGAAATAACATGACGCAGCTGAGTGATAACTTTTCATACGACTAAAAGTGTGGACTGGTTTCACTTGAATTATGACTTTCCCTATGATTCATATTGTACACGGAATAAAGACCTAGTAGTTACTAATGCACGATTATTACATTTTCAAAGGAATGAAAGTACATTCTAATACAAATAACATGTTTGACTTTTAACCCTAGTCAAAGTCAAAGTCGACAAAGTCAATCAACGATAAAATAAAGGTGCTTTCATTAATTAATTGTCTTCTAGGCTGAATTGTTATGTTCTATAATAATCACTATTCGATAACTGTTTATTATTTCTTTGGAATCGGTACTAACGTTGTTTTTCATGGTCATTGTCGAATTGAGGTATTTAAAGTAAGACAGGAAGTATCATCCGTATCCAAAGCCGTGTAAACCAAAGAAATGCATCTTTATTTTGTATTTACAATAGGGATGGATTGATTAGCATTATTATTTTCGCACAGTTAATTGCGTATTGCAATTAAGTGGGTGGTTGATAACTGGCCGAAGGTTCGATTATGAATACTGATGCATATGTAGAAGCTCGAGAACCACTGGGGTAACTTTAATGACCTTTGTACAATTGGAATTTACTCTGTTGTCGTGTTGAAAGCAGTATCACAATTGTAAATCTAATAAGACATTTCTAGATCACCCTCCCGAGAGAAATAAAATACCTTTTTACAGTTTGTATTTAAACTCTGAAGTGACATTAGAAAGAAATTCAGACAGATGAATATTCATTCGTAGAACTAATTAACATTGTTTTCAACAACTTCATGAGATTCCATGTTTTGTCTATCTGATACTTAAAAATATTTCGTTAGTACGGTACAAAGCCTAAAGTGCAGACAGACATTTCTGTTTCAAGCTGAAGGTCAAAAATGAGTGTTCAATGTACTTTATTCATTTTTCAATTATTAGAGCAAAATCAATTCTGGAATTTAGTAGTTATAGTAGTAATAGTTGAATAACTGGTCATTTTTGATAAAATAAACAGTCTAGTAAGATTGTGTAAACCTTATGAAGTACAGGTTTCTTTATGTGTGTATGAAATCGCAAATGGATATTCCTCTACGTATTTTTATTCTGTGAGACAGGAAATTGTTATGATCTTTCTTTGTTTAATCCCTATTTTTACCAATTACACATAAAAATGACTATATAAACCTGGTTGAGAATTGACTAGAAAAAAAACGTAGAGTCCGACAGTGGGAACAAAGCATACTATATTTGAAATATCATGCTTTCAGAGAAATTCAAACTGTTTCCTAAAATGTCAATTTATTCTGGAAAGTGTTTTAGCGGTGTGCAACTGAATTCCAATGTTCGGGTGTTTTAATTGACCCCGACCGACTAGTTTGACCTATGTACTTGACCTTATGTACTTGATCCTTAAGCTGACTAACTCACTCACAGATAGACCTCATCAGTTCAGGCATCCAATAGGACCAATTAAGTCAAATAATCTAATCTATCGAATTCCATGTAATGACTGTGAGGTCAAGTGTATAGGTCAAACAAGCCGGTTGGGGTCAGTTAGAATAGCCGAACGTAGGAATTCAGCTAAATGTAGAATGACAGACCTGAATAAGATCGACAACCCAGAAAAAACTCGGCTATTGCAATGCATGCATTAACACACAACCACACAATAGGGTGGAATAAATCCACTGTACTTAAGTCCAATATAATTAGGTGGAGAGAGAGAGATTGATTGTTGAATTTTTGTTCATCGAATCAATACACAACTCATGTAATCGAAATGATGCAACACCTATACTAGGGATATGGGAAATTTCACTACTAAAAAAAACAAATCATATGAGGTGACGTAACTACAAAACTAAAATATCGAAAGTAGTGTGATTACATTGATCTAATTATGAGCAATAATTTATGCTCGAAACGTCATCAAGTAAATAATACTAGATCACTGTGTATTATAAGTCAAATAAACAAATATAATATGGAATTAAATTCTACCACAGTGCCCAAGTTTTGCATCTATATTAGTAGACCTTGTCTCACAACGAGAAATCACAAGTATCAAAGAATTACGTTACATTTTATTCGATCACTATCGCAATGTCAAATAGGTATTACTTCATTAAACCTAGTAACCAAGATCAAGTTGAATCATGCAAGATGGAAATGTAATTTAGTTGAATAAAAATGTGTAAATTAGGGTTGTGCAGCTATGGAGAATGAAATCGCCGAAAAGGATATCTTCGCTGAACTTCTCGTTTTCTTAAATGTCCCGATAGATATTTTGAGCAATTTAAAATAGGGTAGTGCACTACACCGTTCTGCGTGACGAAAAGAAATTGTAGGTGAAACACTGATAAACAATACAGTTCATTGTATCATTTTTTTCCCTCTACTTTTTAGGTGTACATATCAGAGACATTAAATCTACCAGAAATTGCTTCTTACTGGTATTCTGTACTACAAATGAATGATTATCAAACTGAAAGATTTACGCGTAATGTTATCGAAAAATTGCATAATACTTTAAAAGGAAAGCGAATCGCAATATTCGGTTTCACATTCAAGGCGGATACACACGATACAAGGTACAAAGAAAAGTGATACTGCGTTTGATTTACCTGAATTTCTGAAATTATTTTGCCTAGTATTTATGTCATAATAGCAGTTTTGCAACAGAGATTCCTAGCTACAGATGGAAAGCACTCTCTTTTTAGTTCTGTTAAAACATTAGGTTTTCGGTAATCGATGCTTAAGCATTCACTTAACTGCCTTTGTTTATTGTACAAACTGTAAAAGAAGGTTTTGGTAGTTTGTGTGGCGGATGTTGATGGTCACTTATAGCTACTTCATATATATACTATACTTGAACTCAAAATCATCACATGGCATCAGATAGATTAGGTCATTTGTCTGAAACATACGGTAGTTGGTTAATCAAGTTGTTTTAATTCATCGCATCAATAAGATTTTCAAAACAACAAAGTTTCACCTTGAGTGAACCTTTGGTGTCAACAAACCCTCGTTCCCGCCTTGTTACCATACAAAGATAGAATATCAGAAACTTTAAGCATATTTCTCAACAAGGTGAGAATCAGGGTATCCTTAAAACCTATGGTGAAACCAAGGTGAAACTTTGTTGTTTTGAAAAGTTTATTGATCCGATGAATTAGAACAACTTGATTAACCAAACACCGTGTTTTAAAGAAATAACTTGACCGATAGCTGCTACGTTGATGTGGTGGTCGCGCTTGCATATCACAATGACCCAACGAGTTATGCTGGTGGAACGCTTGTTCCCTCAAGGTCGTACCATGCCAGAAAAGTCTGTTGGATAGTGGTTATACGAAAAGCAGTTACCGTTGTGGTGTAAATTGCTACACTATGATGGGGGTCTGAGGGCGAAGTCATACTGCTGCTAGCTAGATAGGGTGTGACAGCAGTAAGGTGTTTCCCTTGGATGACCAGCAGTGCCATGCTGATGCTACCTTCTCAGTCGAAGAGGGGGAGGGGTTAGAAAAGGTCGGCCACAAAAATAACACACTCCACCATGCCCCACGGTTTGCCGGACCGGCGGTGTTGGTTCACTTGTCGTTTCTTTTCGACCATCGGGCCCCAAAAATACAAAAGTTCGAAATGAACATACTCAAAAGGCTTCGTCTGACAGGCCTCAAGCAGATGTCAGATGGACTCTGCGGTCACACAAATCTCTCCGTCAAATTGGTCAACAGGCTTCGTTGGCAAAGACTCTAGCAACTTGGGACATGGATGTGTGCTGTGTTTTTGAGACACGCATACAGGACTCAAGCGCGGTTATTGACCTAACCCCTTCCGGTCAATCTGATGAATCCGCGAAATTCACCCTTCCAGTTTCTGGAGATTCGATAGCTAGCTTTCGGGGTCTTGCAGGTGTAGACATAGCATTAAGCACTAGGGCAGAAAACTCACTGTTAGACTGGATTCCAGTTGGTAGTTGCCTCTGCGCTATGCGAAGGAATGGCACAGTGAGAACTAAAAGGAATAGTGAGACTCGCCGTTGTCTCTTTATAATCTCTGCTTACGCACCCACTGACTGCAGTTCGGATGAAGTGAAGGACGAGTTCTACTGTAAACTGTCTAGCCTCCTCTCGAAGGCCAAACGTTCGGACGTGGTGGTTGTTGCAGGTGATTTCAGTGCATAGGTGGGTAGACTGAGTGAGGCAGAAAGGCACTTAGGTAGCACTTTCGGAATCCCAGCTGAACGTACAGATAGCCGTATATTTTAGCTAGCACAAATTTCAGACATAAGAAAAGACACTGTCTGACGTGGCGTCCACCGAGCTCAACTCAGCGATGGACACAGACCACATTACTATTAGTCATCACTAGAGAGGATCGGTGGGAGACTGCCACTCCTTCTGGAGTACGTATTTGGACAGCTATCGTGCGTTGGTCCGAGCGCTTATATGCCTGCGTCTCAATGGACGTAGAAAAAATTTGACAACAAAACCAACACGAGTACTGCTGGACAACGAAAACACCAAAGCCGTGTTCAGTGAGAAGTTGGCTAGGCAGTTATCCGGACAGAAGACTACCACTCATCCAGAAGAAGCTTGGTGCAATCTCCAGTCTGTCGTCTAAGCAGCGCTGAACACTAAGGGCGACTCCGAAAGAATGGCTAAAAAGAGCCAGTGGATAGCAGCAGCTTCTTTCAAACTAATGGATGCAAGTGAACGCATCCCTGCAGGCTCTGAGTACAATGAAGAGCGGGCACAGCCTAAAAGTAGACTGAGAAAAAGTCTACGCAACGACCGCGAACAGTGGTGGGCAGCAAAGGCTAAAGAGATGGAAAAGGCTGAGGCGATTGGTAACACTAGACAATTATTTAGACTTATTAAGGAAACTGGGGGAAAAAGATTGACTGCGGTTAGTGAGACCGTAGGGGAGAAGGACGTATCTGCGGTCCTTTCGCAGGGGAGACGACTGGAACGATGGGAAGAACACTTCGATTAACAATTTAACTGGCCTCCGGCTACCACTGTGTTGCCCGTATCCAGTAGGATCCTGAATGTAGCGTTGAGATAGGCCTCCCAACACTAGCAGAAGTCGTAAAAGCGGTAGGTAACCTGAAACGAGGAAGGATAGCAGGACCAGACGGACTACCCGCTGAGGTATAGAAGGATGGTGGTGCTGTGCTCTTAGTCAGGTTAACGGAAGTGTTAACCAGTATATGGGAATCAAATACGATCCCCTCTGACTGGTCTAAGTCACCGATTATTCCAGTCTTCGAGAAAGGCTAGAACTCCTCTTGTGATAACCACAGAAGAGTCAGCCTGACGAACTTAGTGTCTAAGATTCTAGGTTCTATAATTCTTCGACGCCTGAGTGGAGCTGGTGAACAGCAAGTTTGAGGTAACCAAGCAGGATTTAGACCTGGCTGTGGATGTATCGACCAAGTATTCACACAGCACTAGGTTTTGGAACACAGATACGCTTACCGACGACCAACAATAGTTGTATTTCTTGACCTGAAGGCGGCGGCATTCGACTCCGTTGATCGAGAAGTCTTATGGCAATGTCTCTCACTGAAAAGCGTGTCGAGTAAGTGCATCACTTTGTTGAAGGCTCTCTACTCGAACACTTGTGGGCGTGTTAGAGCCTATGGTGAGATATCCGGGGAGCTGTACTCATCGAGTGGTGTCCGTCAATGGTGCCTACTCTCTCCATCCTTATTCAATTTTATCACAGATATTCTTATGGAGGTTTCCCTCTCATCGCCTGATTACACAGACGCTGACCTAATCGATGGAGAATTTCCGTTAGACCTAGAATATGCAGATGACATAGTTCTGTTAGGTAAAGACACTGACAAGATGCAAAGTCTTCTTTGAGTGGTAATTTGAGAATACTTGGGATGCGGTCATCACCACCCAAATGCAAATTGCTGCTCCAGCATTGGTCTTCAACGGTGCTACAGCTAATCAACAGAGAGTGTAGTGATTGAGTGTGTCGACCACTTCACTTACCTGAGAGGTAGGATCAGACCTCCTCCGGTGGCTCAGAGGCCGATGAAATCTCTGCACAAATAGAAAAGGCTCATCTGGCTTTCGCCAACTTACACCACCTATGGCGCCACCATGATATCTGACTGTCTACTAAAGGTCACATATACTGCACATCAGTCCGCTCTGTTCTACTGTATGGCTGTGAAACATGGCCATTGAAGGTGGAAGACATGAAAAGACTTCAGGTGTTTGACCACCGTCTCCTTCGTAGTATAGGCAGCCGTATTTCATGGTGTCACCACGTGAGTAACGCAAAAGTCAGGAGTAGAGTTTTAGGGAGAAGTGGTAAGTTGGTTGACGAGGTTGTGAACCTTCATCGACTGAGATAGTTGGGACACGTGTTGCCTATGCCTGGTCACCGATTGCCTCGTCACACAATGTTGGCTGAAGTAGGTTCAGGCTGAAAAAAGGCCCGAGGTGGCCAGACTTAAACATGACAGGAATGTATGAAGTCTTTGACTGTTGGTTTGATGCATGTGGGGCGATGCAGACTAGGTGGTGGGGTCCGCGGGACAAGAGGAACCAGTGGTTGGAGACTCTACATGATATGGTTGAGAACCGATGTCAGTGGCTCAGATGTATACATACATTATCCTCATCTTACCGCACTACTGAATCTCACCATTTTGTCATTCTTCTTTTCTCTCTTTTCGTACTTGATATTTCTTCTGACTGGATTTTCTTGCCTTCACCTTGCACTTCACTGCCTTTTTATTTGATGTACTGATATGAGGTGTGGCAACTTGGATCGTTACGCAGTAATGCCTTGTCCTAGGTTGATCTGAATGGATGATGATGGGTTTGGAAAAATAAGGTAATCTACCAGATGCCATGTGATGATTGTGAGGTCAAGTAAAATAGGTCAAAGGCGCCGATTGGGGTCACTGAGAACAGCAGAGCATAAAAATTTAGAGAAAGATACAATGATAAACCCTACTAAGACACATAATTTAGAGGAAAACTCACCTATCGCTCTGCATGCGCTAATCTATAATCACATTACAGGCTGGGATAGAGTGACACTTTTAAAATCCAATATAGCTATGTGGAGGGACAGATTGATCACGGAATTTTAGTTCACTGAATGAACATCCAACATACATAATAGGAATGACTCATCATATATTGCAGATATCTGACATTAAAATAAAAGACGAGGGAACTGTTGGTCTGTACAAGTGAAATTTGAAAGTCTTATGGTTATTTTCATTTGAATATGAGGAATAAATTCTGCTCGAGACGTCATCCAGTATGTAATACTGTATCACTATGTATTGTATGAAATAAACAATCTAATATGGCTTGATGCTTGTTAGGTTGGATAAATACATCGGACAAGCATATCTGGGTCGGTCAGATAAACACAGAATAGAAACTTAGTTTAAGTAAGGATGACAAATTCAAATATGATCAGAAATTTATAAAAAATTTCTTAGCCACTGCATTGCATACAATGACACAATAAGGTGGAACAGCGTGACAGTCGTAAAGACCGATTTGGATAGGTAAGGAGGTTATTTACAACATCTTTGGTCGCTGAGTCAACACTAAATAAAAGAATAACACTCGTTCCGGATGTATTAAAAATCCTATTACCATTGGATTTAAGAAATGATAATTAGCAGAAATATAGAGTGATGTAGTGGAGGTAGTATGATTATCACGATATGATTATGTATGAGCAACAGGTATGCTTAAACGTCATCCAGTAAATAATCCTGTTTCACTGTATTATGTTAGTGAAACTTATTTCATGGACAGTTATACCCTACCACAATACCGAAATTCTACGACCTATTGACTGCTAATTTGTTATTTTTTCTAGTCCATAAACCCCTTACTATGCGCACGATAATGATTATGTTTGAATGTTTAGTCAATTTTTCACTCTGAGTTTTAGTTCTGCCCCTTCATAGTACCAACATAATCTAAGGAAAACAATTTCACATGTTTACTATTGAAAAGGTAGCTATTTAGACTGTTGGTTCATAAATTCATTCGCTTGATTTATTCTTGTTGTGTTTGTAAATTAATCTACTTCAATAGTATGATTTTCAACTGAATGTTCAACATTTTTTGTTTGATATAAATATTAGAGATAGTCCTGTGATACTAGTCTGTAATCAGCTACTACAAGAACAAGCTGAACTTGCTATCTATGATCCCAAAGCCTATCATAAACAAATTCAGTCAGATTTACTAGTCTGTAATAGTAAAGATACAAGTAAGTAGCAATGTATGTATTGAGAAATAACTTTTAAATATCATTTCTAGTATATTTATGCATATTCGTATCATTGACCAGTAATCAGTGTTGTCATCATTATTATCATCGTTAGTAAAGTAAAATCATCATTGTTATAGCACTTAAAGCTCTGTGTATTGAAAAATGAAACTATGCATATTATTGTGTTCAGTTGTGTTTCAGGTTGTTATTCATCATGAACTAACATCAGTTAGAGAAACACTGGGAGCATTGGACAGCTGTTTCATCTTATTATAAGACTTCTCAACAGTAAGCACCCATGACCCTGCTAGGCATTTAGTCCAAAACTTTCAGGTTCCGTGGTCCACACGTTACCATTGAGCCACTAGGTCAGAACTCAGTGGCTCATATTTCCTACTACTGTCAGTTCACGATATTGCAAAACTTCCATCCAATTCCGTCTTTGAGTGACTGTCCTCATGTTCAACTTGGTTGGCGCCATCAGTTACCACTTCTCATTGGAATTTCGGGAATTATCTCTTAAAGCCAGTTACTAATGAGCACTAGATTAATTCAATTTTGAGGTTTTGGGGGATTTATTTATTGACATCAGTTAGATGTCAGTCCATGATGAACACCAACCTGAAATCAATGAATCAATCACCATAAACTTGAAAATTGAACTCAAGCTGTATGCTTGCAATGATAAAAGAGTTCATAGTTTATCTAAAAAGTTTAATATTTTTTTAGAAAAAATACCAGAAAAACAGATTACTCGCTGCATTCTCAAGGCAATGGAAGGCGTTATTTGTGCCGACATTTCCTTTATTGTTATTCAAGTTTGGTTTTCATCGTTGGTCACAAATCTGTTAGGCATCCCTTAAAAAAGCGCAGTGTCTAGGTAGATTTTTCAAATCACATTTCCGCTACTCTTTAATTTAAGCATAATTATGGTAAGTGATACATTTTTGGGTCTAGGTGAGCTTTTCAGTGAACTTTGGTTTGAATCCTTTGACCAAAAATTTGTGAATAAAGAAGGAGTAGTTCAGTGAAGAGATCATTTTCTAGCCGTTTTATTCTTCAAACTCTGCAATCCCAGTTATATATAATTGTTCCTAAGCAAAATAATTGCAGCGATAAGTTAAACATACTATCATTATGCACCTATCGGTCATGAAAGGGTAATCTATGTAACAGTCAAGTTGTTGGTGCTCAGCACAGATGAAAGCCTATGGATCAAGTTTTCAATCTAACCACTTAGTTTTGTAAAAAAGCACTATTGTGCACTGTATTTTGGTATTGGATACTGGTAGTCAGTTAACAGGAAGTCTTGAATCTTGGTTTCACGCTTTTTGATACTTATCAGTAATGTGTATCTGTAACTAAGCGGAAATTGATGTTCCCCTCTGTGACTTAAATTACACGTGAGTTGAGGTGATGAACTGTGGCTGATTGATATAGGGAGATGACTATCAAACAGTGAGTCATGGGTCCGAATCCCGCTCCATCTACCTATGTTTGGCAAGCCAGGTAGTATCATTAGCCCGCACACAATAGTTGCGGCTCATTGTCTGCTGCATAGACCTACACCAAATGGTTGAGAGCGTTTCATTCATTGATTGATTTCAGGCATGACGTAATCATCATTCAGTTTTGTATTGAAGAAACTGTAATCACCTTCGTTTTGACTAAATATACAAGTTCAATTTTCATTTACTGCTTGTTTTACTTTCCTGCAGTCTATATTTTTATTATTTATTTGTCAAGTTAGTGAAAATAAAGTTCTATTTCCAATTTATAGTCAATAGATTAGTCCATGTATGTTCCACTCCAGAAGAGGCGGTAACTGATGCCTATGCCATCCTTATATGCACAGATTGGAAATGTTTTCATGTGAGTTTTTGTAGTAGTCATATATGGGAATAATTGTATTCTAGTCTATATTGTGTTCAGGAATATTTATTTATTTCAAGCATTTAATTCTTATCTGTTGTAGAACATAGCTTAGTTTAACCATGTGAATCTGGTTTACTACAAAGTACATGGGTTTTGCGTTATGTATACCGCTACAGTTTACATATTCGACCTTCAAATAAACTGTCTAGGGAATTCAGATGTATTCCACTTGTTTTGGCTTGAAATACATTAAACATTAGCATAAACTCTCTTTTACTAAGTACAGTAATAAAATCTATACAACATTCATAATTTGTTATTGATGGATACTTGTAATTTCTCGCTGTCATACTTGATCCAGCTGCTTCACCTTTGGGTTTGAATCCTAGTAGGTAAACCATCACTCACTGAAGTGCAGGTACATCTGAATAGCGAGTTCCGAATTGGGTGAAACGCGCGTATTGGATTCCACTGTTAACCACCAAATCACCTATATTCATAATTTCTGTGTATGATCAATGCTACATTGTACTATTGTTAAATGGATGCATAAGTGCTGAGCTTTTTAAAATCACACTAACAAACCTATTGGGGATAGACTCGGTTAGTAAATGGATCTTCATGTATATAGAGGATGGCCAAGAAAGAAAAAACAGGTACTTTAGGATTTGAGACAGTAGCTTTTGAGGTAGACAATCAGGGCAACAGAATGAAACTAACACGTATGTCATGGTCTCTTGATTTGACTGTTTAGTGCCGAGAAGTAAAGTATTCGATGCATTTGGGCATCAGTTATAGCCATCATGCTTTACAACAGCTCAGGTAGATATAGTTTGAATAAAGAAGATTGAAAAAATATAAAAAGCGAATTGACCGAAAATAAAACAGAGTTTGTCCTTATGATTCACTCGGTGGTGGCTATCATGGAAATCCAGGACGGGCGTTTCGTTCTATTTGGGACTAATCATTTGAATATGCCTATACCCCAGTGAGTGGTCGTGTTCCCGTTGATACTAGAACCCCGTACTCATCGCTTCAAACGCCAGAGCGTTATCCACTAGCCTAATAAGGCATAGTAGCCACCTTTAGTGCAACTGGTGTTAGCTGTTATTGTTTGATGGTGTTTGTAATTCCCCTTTGTTATCGATCGATTCTATCCAGTAGAGCAATGGAGTTTTTTAAGCATCTCATCTAATAAGCATACTCTTCTATTTCCATTGCTATGGATACTTTATCCACACAGCTTAGAATTACTCCATGCCTCGGAATCTAATAGTCCCTAACTGCATGAAATTTTTCTACACTACTATGTTGTCAACCCTTAATAAACAAAGCATCTTAGTTGTACTTCTGGGAATCTGTGAAATACAATCGTTGGTACTAAGATTATGAATGGAGTCAGAAATTACTATTAAGTCAAAATCAATAGGCGTATATATGTGATAATAGTAGGACCCCTCTTAGTTTTCATTGTCCATGTATGTATTTTGCTGGGGTGATTAGTCACTCCCACCAATTATTTTGATACATGGCTTTTTAATTTCAATGGATTTTAACTCATTCTTGAAAATCTTATCTGTGCAACGAGTAAAATCAGTTCAAATCAGTCACTGAACTCCTAAAGATTACTTCAATATGTTTTTCAAACTGTGTGTATCTCAGTTTCTGATATCAGAAGGAGCGGTCTATAGATTATCTGTATACACAGTGGATAAGTCAAGTCAATGTTGTCAGCATCTAAGGTTATCAATTGTTGTTGTGATCTGTGCAGGAAATCTAAACCCTTTATACCTAAGGTCTTCAGGGGAAGCAGTAAGTTTACAAGATGGAAATATTAAAGAATTTTCTAGAGAAGAAACCGGGCGGTCTCCGGTTCGATTCCCCCCGCGGTCCAAATTCTTATTTTACCTTTAACCATCACCCAGTTAAGTCGCATGTAACTATTTAGAAACTACAGATATATACTGGACGTATATATTGAAGTTAGTGTGTTGGGTTTGGAAATACAATCCACACTGATTATGAGTTCAATGAAAAACAACTAGTGAGCTACAACCAGGGTTGTTAATCAGCATACATTATTAGTGACATATTTACACGTTTAAAGTTATATTCATTATAGATTGACATCACTTAGATAACCATTGAAAAACTAGGAGCGCCGAACATCCGTTTCGTCCTAGTTTGGGACTCCTCAACAGCACGCACCTACAAACCCTGCCAGAGATTGAACTCAGGACAATAAGGTTTCACCATTTATCCACTTGGTTGCAGTTCAGTGGTTCATAGTTTCGTACTTCCATCAATTGGAGATGTAGCGCGGCTACTTACTAAAGTCTGTATTTGAATTCCACTTCACTTTCGGCTGGTTGACCCATGAGACCTGAAGGTCTCGACTTCGATCTCTAGTGAGGTCGTGGGTATGTACTGCCGAGGAGTTCCATAATGGGAGTAAACGACTTCCCAGTACTTCAAGGTCTTCAATGGTTCTCCAACTGGTGTCAGTCCTTACAAACTTCAGAGTAAAATTCCCATAAACCTTAAAACAAATCTTTACATCGTCTATAAATATCCACTTAGTTATATCATGTTCTTGTGTTTTACTTTATTGCAATCTGAGACATTTTTTTGTTCAAAATTTCAGGAGTATAACTATGAAGAGTTTTATCGCCTTATGGGTAAACCAGCAAGAATATTTGATGGACGCCTTATGTTAAATCATAAACACTTGGCACAAATTGGCTTTATTGTTGAAGCTATAGGTGTTGCATCTGAAAGCTTTTCAATAAATGGTTATTCTGTAAAATAAAATGTATAAAAAGGAATAAAAATATTGATATAGGTGATGTTTTTTTACACTGATGTTAAAGTTTCCATTTTCTGCTTAATGGAACTAGTCAACAAAAAGCCCATTTGAAACCATTATTAAACTGCTATTCCTTCAGAAATGTGAACTAGTATCACTCACTCTTTGTTGAAATTAGATACTTTATTACCAATCTGTAGAGGCCACAGCTGATCGGGATATGAGGCTTGCTCACTTATATGAATCAGTTACCAGATGGTACCCCTATATATATGTATCACATCTTAGCTGGTAACTGAACTCCGTCAATCGATTTTATAACCTGATAAATGAACATAGGGATATGACAGACTTGTTTGCTGATTAACTCCAAACACTTAAATTTCAAAAAAACTGTATGGCGGTGTTGTATCGCTTGACTTAATGGTCACTTTAGGTATTTTGGCGATAGAATTAAATCACTGATCAAGAATTTAAATCCTAAATAGTCACCATCAGTCTACTGATTCATTTCTCTTTTTCCATCTGCTTTCTCTCTTTTCTTAATAGCATACTGCTAATTTATTTATCTGCTGTTATGATATAATAACATTAACTATGGTTGTGAACTATATTTCTTCTCTTTTGCCGTGTACAAACACACACATATGTGTATCTGTTTATGAATATCTTTGTTGAGAATAAGACGGAGAATCTGAACCATAATGACTGTAACTGCCTTGCTATCTTTTTTTGTGTTTTATCTACATGTCTGTGCTTCTCTCAGTATTATTCAACGTCACTATAGATATACCTAAACTAAAAGTCTTTATGAAGGTACTTGACTGTGTTTAAATGTGCTAATGGTATCCTATTTATTATCAAATTTACTTTTATGTGAGACAATAATCAGTTCAAATAGTGTAGAACACTTTGATAATGCGTAAATATGCCCGATGATGTTTTAGGCGCAATTTATTTTCTTTGATAACACAACATTCAACAGTTGGTTTTTATAGTCTTCGCACTTGTTTTAAGCTTAGAGCAGAATTCCCCAAATGTTCAACTCTGTTTTATAAATATAGGTCAGTACATGCTTCGCGGTAACTCAGATATCTCTAGACTACGTATGTTAGTATGTCTTACCATTCATTTATGTGAATCTGTTGCTCAAAAAGTAATGCATGCAATGTTGTGGCAATCGAATACAGCAGCTTTTATCCAATGAGACGTGAAAAAGGGTTAGATAGGTTTGTTTTTTATAGATCCAGGAATCTATGCTCTAAGGCTAATCTAAACGACAAGTTGACTCTCCTTAAAAAGAAGTTACTTGACGACAAATATTCTAAGAAATTTATTAGTAAAGATAGAAAATGATATAGCGATAACAAGAATGTTGCTAGAGTTAAGAATGAACCAGTTCTTACTCAGCTGACTATTGAGGGGGAAGATATTTCCAAAGAAGCAATAAAAAGGTTGAAAGTTACTTATTCTAGAACCCATTCAGCAGCTAATTTTAATCCTCTGTATACTACTAATTATGGCTCTTCTTATTGAAGAGTGGATCTATACACATTCTAACTCCTACAGTTATGCCTATGACTTCATATGTGATTGTTACAGTATGTTGGAAGGAAAGAAAAATAGACCTCTATCCTCTACTCTGAGTACGTTCCGAAAGTCTTCTAATAAAAGGCTCTCAGTCATTTAAACGTAAAATCGCTCAAGATCTTATTGACTCATGACATTGATGCATAAACCTCCTCTATAGTAACCAGTGGGTAAATAAATTCAATCATAATTCGCTTCGTATAATCAACTAAGATCAGAAAGCTTTAGCATGTCCACTGAGTAAAGAAGGAGACTACGATTAACCTGACCTTGTCCTGAGGTCATTTCCTTGGTCCGAAAACACAGTATTTCTCTCACATCTTGTTTATCTGCTGAATTGAACTCATTATACTTACGTTATATGGAGTGACTTTGAAGACCATCGTAACAATCTGTCAGATAACGAACCTTACTTTGTTTTTGAGGTATTCTGACCAACAGCGGACCGGGAGACAGGTACATCCAGCTAACGAATCCTAAATAAGACGAAATGCGCATCCTGGATTCCACTGCTATCCACTATCCATCTTTACTAATGGACTGGATGGTTTGAAAAAACTTGAGCACCTAGTTAGTATGATTAATCGTATAAGGTGTATCTTTACTTGTGTAATCCAGGTGTAGTATATTAGAACAAAGAGCAAAACAAAAAAATATTTGATATTATTCCTTGACGTCCCAATCTTGTTGCGAATATCCTTTTCAAGAGTATGAATCTGATATAAAGTTTTGAAGGTTAATATTCAAGTTTAAGTACGACAACCCAATTACATCGTTCTATGGAACAAAGATCAATGTAATACAGGTAAGTGAATAAAGATATCGGTCAGAGAGACTTTTTTTAGTTGTCCAAGTAAGGTTTGATTCTAAAACATTTGATTGATTTCCATCACTCAATAAACCCAGACAATGACTTTAAAATTATTTATTAGATTCGCCCAAATCTCCCACGTTTTCTTCGTCATTAACTCCTTAAAACAGTGGGGGCCTTAGCTATTCATGAACTAAAACCTGATCTGTGTGTACGAAAGCAGTATGTACAGTCACTGTTTTCCGCACGGCCACAACATTTTCCCACCCATTAACTTCCCCTCTCCTCCCGCTTTGTTAATTTGACCTTTGTATCCTTCCTTAATGACTGTTATTATTACAATTACCTTCACTTTGATTAATTTCGAGTGTTATTTCACTTAACTGTCTTAATCTTTTTATAAGACACTGATTTCATCTTGACCAACCTATCTAACGTGCTGGCCAGGGAACCTAAAGGTCGCGGGTTCGATCTCTGGCGGAGTCGCGGGTTCGCACTGCTGATGAGTCCCATACTAGGTCGAAGCAGCCATCCAGTACTCCCAGCTTCTCATTGTTCCTCCAACTGATGTCAGTCTACGATGAATACCAACTTGAAATAATCCTATTACATAATATTTAATTGATTTACCACTTTTATCAGTTTTTTCGCCCCGCTTTGTTATATATCTTCTATGAACCATTCAACATATTACATTATCTACTTTGTTATCACTAATACTTCGATTTTGATAACGCTATTAGAAGACGAGAATTATCTGAAAAATGTGATGTATTTGCGCGATACATTTCGAACAACCCGACCACACATTTACTTGTCAGGTCAATTTATATATGAAAATGAAAGGTCAAATATAATGAATATGAAAAGGTTGTAATGTAATCAGATAAGGATTACCAAGGTAAATTAAGTGAAGTAACAAACTATGTTTGTACGCACAACTATGGCTTAAGTTTACGAATGGCTAACGCTTCGGTAAGCTTCAGTATATGCCGCTGATTATTCCTGTATAATATCTTGAAGGTTGTTTTCGTATTAACCTTGTGATTCGTTTCAATGATGTTTTGCTATAGATAACGATGGATGTCTGTCACCTGCTTTTATGAATGCTTGCGTGTTAAATTACTTTTCAAGCCATTTAGGTATGTGTTCACTCACTCTAGTCTGTATTGAACGATTACTCCTCCCTATTCATATGTGCCCACACATACATGTAGATTGGTAAACACAGTGGGATGTTACACAATCATTTATGCGAGGTTGAGGTTTGTGTCGAAGTAGGTGTTAGGTCTTCTCAATAAGGTTAAAGCTGAGCTGCATAGTATGTTTTATTGATATCTTCAATACTGAAACCTCAATTGCTATCATTATCACGAATGCTTTTGTCATCACCGCTTTATTATTATTGTCCTCATCATCATATAGTGTTTATCATTTAACTATTTGAGATGGCCGTAGTTTGGCAGACTAGTATTTATACTGGGTGATGACTGATAGAGAACCAAGCCGGTAACCCGGTGGTTGCTGGTTCGAATCCGGCCGCGTTCCAGATTGTCATCTCACCTTTAATTATCACCCAGTATAGATAATAATAATAATGACAATCACAGTGATAACGATAAAGGTATTTTTGATAACAGTTGAAGTATGAATGATAGCAAAATGGATTATTTAATATAAACAATGGTTGATAGGATGTATTTAACTCAGAAAGGCGCGAAAACGTCATGAACATAGCAGATCAATGGAGTATTATGTAATAGGATTAGAAAAATTGTTAAAGTACAACCAATATTTTTTGGGGGATGTAATTAAGACGACTAAGTGAAATAACACCGGAAACTATTCAAACATGAATAAATTCGGAACTAATCATGTAGAGTACAGTGAAATGAAATTGTGTTCTACTTTCTCTTCATATATTATTTGCAGCTGTCTATGTGAATCATTGTTTGCCATATTCGCGAAATGTCTAACCCATTTTTTCTGTTGACCGAAGAGGCGTACGAACAGATGTGCAAAGCTTCTTCAATGGTCCGCTCTTTGTGAGAAAGAAAACCGTTTTGCAGGTTTTTACCTTTTCAAGTGATAATTTATGACCTGTATATAAGGCATGAGCCACGATGACTTTTTTTTCAAGTTTTTCTTTGTTTTATGGAAAAACTACCTTCCCAGACGAAATATCAAATTCTCATTGGTTATTTCAGTAGTTGCTTGGGTGGTTTTTAAAGTCACTTCATTATTTGCTTGTCATCTTGCGTAATCATAAATTTTCTTTTCATTGACTGCTGGATAATAGTTTTTGTTGTATGTCATATTAGATTTGTTTATTTGATGTATATCGCACAGTGATATAATATTATCTATTTGATGACATTTTCAGCATAAATTATTGCTCATAATCATACCAATGTAATCATACCGTTTTCAACATCTGACGTTTATAGTCCTGTCGCCTCATATTGGTATTATGATTTGCCATATTCCTAGTGTATGGAAAACCTTATTTTGAGGGAGTTGTGAGGATTTGGAAATATTTAAAATTGTTACTCACCGTAGACTGACATCAGTTGCAGGATTAAAGGAAGTCTGGGGGCGCTGG